AATTAAGTTCAGCTGCTTGGCAACCAGGTTGCATTTATGCATCCTGCAGTTTACGTAATCATGTTTTGCATTTTTTTTTGTGTCGGTTTTAGGCAAAAAACTTGCATTGGCATAGCTAGATTTGCTTAACTGCCACCTGATTTGTTTAAGAACCATAGTGATTTGCTTTATAACCACTATAAAAATGGTAATAAAATCAGATCTGGTCACATCTTAATTTGACTTATTGACCACACTGATTTACAACCAAATTTCCAGTCCCAAATGTGGTTATAAGTCAAGGACCACCTGTATGTTTCTCAGGAGAAAAAAGGTGGGAAGCCGTGCAAATATTTTACAGTTATTTTAACACAAACCTAAATCTACCTAGAATGACCTTCGTCATTTTCTAAACTAGCCTTTCATCTATTATTTAATTGCAGCCCGGATTGAAATAAGATTATGACACTCTTGCAAAACATGTTTATATATAAACATGTGTACACCAAAAATAAAACCAAGCTCTTGGAGCCACTCAGTATTTTATTTTTTAAGAAGGCTTCTGGAAGGCTATATAGGATAAAACAGAATAACAGAATTGGAAGGAACCTTAGAAGTCTTCTATATCAGTCCCCTGCGAAAGCCTATACAATTTGAGACAAGTGACTATCCAGTCGCTTCTTTAAAACCTCCAGTGACAGGGCTCCTACAACTTCTGAAGAAAATTTCTCCTTAGCTCTAGGTTGCTCCTCTCCTTGATTAGTTTCCACCCATTGCTTCTTGTCCTGCCCTCAGGTGCTTTGGAGAATAGCTTGACTCCCTCTTCTTTGTGGCAGCCCCTGAGATATCGGAACACTGTGTTCCAATATAACATATAAGGGCCAATAATTTTTTTTGACAATATAGCTATCTGAGGATGGTGTTTACTTTCTAGAATATTAGCTTTCTGCTCACTTTTTTAAAATTAAAATAATCTAAAATATAAAATTACATGGGGCAGAAACCTTGGGTGCCTAATTCCCTAATATGGTCTATAGATATTTTCTTGGCACCCACCAAAATCCCTGTAATTTTATAATGTCTACTCAAAGCAGAGGTGCTTACAGGGTATGGTCACAGTTGGCAGCCATAATGGTGTGATCCAAGCTCTGCCTTATGAGTAATGTGCAATGTATCACTCATATATAAAATATATAAAATTGCAATTGCAATTATCTTGACTTTTTTTGACCTTTCCAATCACAACATCCCTGATTTAAAAGACCTTCCATGGCCTTAATTTGAAGGAAGACTGTCTATAACAGAATTTTCCAACCTTAGCAACTTTAAGATATGTGGCTGGCTGGGGAATTCTGGGAGTTGAAGTCCATGTGTCTTAAAGTTGCCAAGGTTGGAAAGCCTCGATTTAGGGATTTTTTTTTTAGAATAGGGATGGAAATAACTTGTTACCCAAAAACCTCCGTGACCACTTCTACCATTCAAGCTCGCAAAATCCCTCTGAATGGGGACAAAGCTGGCCCTGAATGGCAATTTTGGATCACTGGAGGTGCTTCAAAAGACAGAGCTGAGGGCTGTTTAAAGAAGAATTGTGGTGATTTTTGCTGCTGATGTTTTGCAGTATCCACTAGCAAGTCTTAGGTCTGTCAGCTGCTTGGTTTATCTTACACTCCTGATTATTCACCCTGATCAACGATTTGTCATCCGCAACATAAAAAGCAGCAGATCCCCAAGGCAACATAAAAACATAACTAAAAAACCCCCCATCATCGCCAGATGGGCTTAAGAAGCATCTTAATGTCCATTCAGTGCCCAAAGTCTTATTCGAAGAGCAGTTTTTCCTCTTCCAAGCACGTTCAAGGAGGACTGGAAGCTTAAGGACAACCAGTGCAGTTCCTGAAATATGTGCTTTATAGTGTACAAACTGGACAGGGTCATTTGGCCAACAGAGCTCCCCCTGAGATGTCTGTGTGTGGGGCCCTACCTCATGATGTTCCCGACAGATTTGAAGAACTGGTCTAACTGGGTAAGAAGGTGGATATGGTCCTCTTGTTGGGATGCCCTTTCCAGGGGGAGATTTAGAGTGGATGGTCCAGATGAGTGCTGTTTTTCCTCTCTCTCTGTTTCACATTCCACATCAGGGCTGTCAAACTCAAGGCTGGATGCGGCCTGCGGGATGCTTAGATCTGGCCCATGGGGTCACCCTGGAAGCAGCGAAAGACCGGCCTGTGGTGCCTCTGCCAGTGAAAACGGAGCTTGGGAGGGCTGCATGCGGCCCTCCCAGGCTCCGTTTTTGCCCAGCAGAGAACTGCAGGAGAATCCCCCGGAGGCCTGCATGGGCCACAACAGGTGCCCCCGACACGAGTGATATCAAACTGACCGTGCTCCCCGCCCACAAGGTCAAACACAAGCCTGATGCAGCCCTCAATTGCAATTGAGTTTGACACCCCTGTTCTACATTATACTTTGAATATTGTTTAGACGGAGTTCTGAGCTGTCCAATGTCACCCTGATTTGGGCAGCATCTAAATCAGGGGTCCCCAAACTTGGCAAATTTAAGACTTGTGGATTTCAACTCCCAGAATTCTCCAGCTATTCTGGGAGTTGATGTCCACAAGTCTTAAAGTTGTCCAGTTTGGGGACCTCTGATCTAAATCTAAGGAAACGAATCAATACTTTTTTAAAAAATGAAATGGAGTTTTGCAAAAAAAAAAAAAAAACCTCTAGGAATCTGGTGGGGGGAGGGGAAGCAAAGGTTCTTCTGATTTGATCCTCCATCTGATGCTCAGGAGATCATTAGAGGCTCTCCAAACTCCCCCTCCCTCTTTCCCGCGCCCCCCTCTCTCTCTGTGATCAGAGCCCTCAAGTGTTACATTGTTCCAAGTGTTACATTATATTGTGTATGTGTTGGGGGGGGGGGAAACTAGACAGGAAGACTTCCCCTCCACCCCCACACAAAGCCCCAACTTTGCTCCAGATTCCAACAATCCCGATGGGGACAGGAACCACTCAGGTCAGAAAGCCAGCTGAGGCTACCCAAGCACCCAGTTTGGCTCCACAAACCTTGATATGGAAACCTATGGTTGATTATTTGCATTCTGCAGCTCAGACAGAATTAGGATTTGCAGGGTTGTTGTTATGGGGGAATTAGAAACAGAAAATGTGTTGAAATATAATAGAATAACAGAGTTGGAAGGGACCTTGGAGATCTCGTAGTCCAACCCCGTGCTCAGATAGGTAACCCTGTTGAATCTCTTCTTAAAAACTTCCAGTGTTGGAGCATTCACAACCTCTGGAGGCAAGTTTTTTCCACTGATTAATTGTTCTGTCAGGAAATTTCTCCTTAGTTCTAGGTTACTTCTTTCCTTGATTAGTTTCCACCCATTGCTTCTTGTCCTGCCCTCCGGTGCTTTAAAGGAGACGTGGTGGCTCAGTGGCTAAGACGCTGAACTTGTCGATCAGAAATGTCGGCAGTTTGGCGATTCGAATCCCTAGCGCCGTGTTAACGGAGTGAGCTCCCATTCCTTGTCCCAGCTTCTGCCAACCGAACAGTTCGACAGCATGTGAAAATGCAAGTAGAAAAGTAGGGACCACTTTGGTGAGAAGGTAACAGTGTCCCGTGCGCCTTTGGCGTTTAGTCATGCTGGCCACATGACCACAGAGACATCTTTGGCCAGCGCTGGCTCTTTGGTTTTGTAACAGAGATGAGCACCGCCCCCTAGAGCCAGCAACGACTCGCACATATATGTGAGAGGAAGTTACCTTTACGTTACAGGTGCTTCAGAGGATAGCTTGACTTCCTCTTCTTTGTGGCAGCCCCTGAGATATCGGAACACTGCTGTCTTTTCTCCCCTAATCCTTCTTTTCATCAGACTAGGCATACCCAGTTCCAGCAACCGTTCTTTATATGTTTTAGCCTCCAGCCCCCTAATCATCTTGGTTGTTCTTCTTTGCATTCTTTCTAGATTAGACTTTCAACGTCTTTTTTACATTGTGGTAACCAAAGCTGGATGCAGTATTCCAAGTGTGGCCTTACCAAGGTGTTATTATAAAGTGGTATGAACACTTCACGTGATCTTGATTCTATCCCTCTGTTGACGCAGCCTAGTATTGCATTGGCCTTTTTTGGCAGCTGCAGCACACTGCAGCCTCCTATTTAAGTGTCTGTTCACTAGGACTCCAAGTTCCCTCTCACGGTTACGATAAAGACGGGGTGCAAATAAATACAGATAGTCCTCAACCTGCAACCACAACAGAGCCCAGAAATTTATGTTGCTAAGCGAGAAATGTGTTAAGTGAGTCTTGCCCCATTTTACGACTTTTCTTGCCACATCTGTTAACCGAATCACCAAAGTTGTTAAACGAGTAACCTGGTTATTAAGTGAATCCGGCTTCCCCATTGGCTTTGTTTTGTCAGGCAAAAGGGGATGCCATGACCCCTGGGAGCCTCCAACCGTCATAAATACGAGCCGGTTGCCAAGCATCCAAATGTAAATTAATTCAATTCAATTAATTCAATTCAATTAACAAATTCAATTAATTCAATCCAATTAATGTAAATTTAATGTAACCTTAAACTGTCTACAGTGGACCTCACTCCATTCCTAAGAGGTCTGTAAGGTCTGTGCATAAGGGCACCAGCCCTTATCATCCCCATTTATCCATACTCATTTATTAGGTATATTCTTATACCCGTCTATACTTATATGTTTATATGTTATGTTCATACTTATACTTGCTTGCTCATATATGCTTGACAAACTAAAATAAATATACAAAGTAAATATATAAAGTAAATATATAAATCCTGGGAGCACGGGAATGCCGCCACGGTTGTAAGTCTGACAAAAGGGTCCCGCTGCCTTTCGAACGGTCAGTAAGCGAACCGTTGTAAGTCGAGGACTACCTGCGAAATAAATGTTAGTCGGGCATTGCCAAACCACCACAAAACCAAATCGGCATAAAATATTGACCGGACGGGAAGGAGCGTTCCCGGTTAAGGACTGTAGAGCCACGCCACTCACCGCAATCAGGGCCGGATTCCTGGGCTCGCCTCCAGCGGCGGCGCTCGGCGACTCCCCGTTGATCCCATTCCTGCCACCAGCGCTCCCGTTGCTGATCAGCTGCGAGGGGTAGTAGTCGGTCGCCGGGGGCGCTGCGGCGTTAGCAGAAGGCGCGGCGGAGCCGTTGCCTCCGGCCGTCCCTACCGCCGCTGCCGCTTTGCTGTGCTTGCTTCCCTTCCGAGCCGCCTGGCCGTGTTGCACGAGGTTGAGCAGCTGCAAGGTGTTCTCCCGCTCGCGATCCGAGCTCTCGGCCCTGCCCCGCTCGTAGCGGCCCTCGCAGGTCAAGTGGTGCTGGCGGCAAACGGCGATGCGCGCCCGGAGCCTCTCCACGATCGCGCTGTGAACCCGCGGGGCTGCCGCCGCCGCCGCCGCCATCGAGCCTCCTCCTCCTCCTCCGAGGAGACCCAAAGCTTGAGGGGGCGCCGTATCCCCCATCCCGACGGGCCGGACGCCTCCGGGCGCTCCGCTTGCACTTTCCCAACCGGAGATCGCGGCTTTCTCACGCTCACATGAACGGAGGAGGAAGAGGAGGAGGAGGAGGGAGTCCGCTCGCTTAGCTCCAGATCGGAGTTGTGTGTGTGTGTGTGTGTGTGTGGTTGTTTCTTCTTCTTCTCCTCCTCCTCCTCCTTCTCTCCCTTCTCTCTCTCTCTTTTCCTTTCCCTCCCCCGTAGGACAACCCGAAGTCAGCCCCCTCCCCCTTTTCGGAGTGATGATCCTTTCCTGACAGCCAAGAAATAAAACTTGACAGATTTATTGGTTTTGGTTGTTGTTTTTTTTCCCCTCACGCAAAAAGAACTACAGAAAAGCCACCGAAATCCTTTTCGGAAGATCTGTTAGCCCGGGAGCACAACTCATCTCGGGGATGCAGGAGGGCATAAAAAAAAAGGAAGGAAAGAAGGGAGAAACTGATCACCAGGATCCATTCCACCGATGCAGAACTGCCAGAGACATTGAAAATCCGATGGAGCAATTGACCAGAGTTTTTTTTTTTTGGGGGGGGGGGGTTCCTTTCCCCCCCCCCAGGGGGCCCAAACGCGTTTAAATATATATATATATTATATTTTATATATTAGAATAGAATAACAGAGTTGGAAGGGGCCTTGAAGGTCATCTAGTTCTTCCTCCCCCTCCTTTGGTTATTAATAACACGGGCCGTGTGGGAAGCAATATTTTCCAAGGAACGATTTTTTTTTGAGGGGGGGGCGCGTTTTCTTTAAAGCGTCCCCCAAAGAAGTTGAGCGATGCTTTCCGAAATGGTGAGGAAAAAAAGTTAGTGGGGATCGTAGCAACCAGGATGGCCGTCTCCCGACGAGGTGCAGAAGGCTGGCAGCAGCGGTGGCGTCCCCCGAAGAAGGGGAACGCGGAAAAAGAAAAAGAAGGGGGGAAAAAAAAGTCAGGACACGAGGTTGGAAGAAAGTTGATCGCGGGATCCCGTCAGTCAGAAGAGGGCGGGAAGCGGTGGGGGGGACACCCACCAAGGACTGAGCTATATTCCGCTCGCTCCCTCCACCATCGCTTTCTCCACCCCGCCTGTCGTCCGTCTCCCTCGATCCCCGGAAAAGTGGGGAGGGGAAAAAAAAACCACACCAGAAATCCGGAGTTTTCAAGAGCTTCTCTCGCCCCGTACAAAAAAAATAAAAAATAAAAAAGCAGATTTTGCTTCTCGGTGAGGGGAGGAAAAAAAAAAAAAAGAATAAGTGAAAGAAGGAGAGGAAAATCAAAATCTTTCAGGCTTCTGCAGCCCGGCGCTTACCGCGGCCCCCTCGCCCGAAGCTGGTGGGGCGAATAGACGGACATCCCTCCGGGTCTGGGGAAGCGATTTCCAAAGCGATCCTGAAACTTACAAAACTGCCGCCAGCTTTCTGTTTCCAGAGAGGAGCGACCTAGGGAGGTTTCACGCCTCCCGGATCGGGGGATCGCGGGGTGATCTTTCTCTCTTTCTTTCCGGATTCTTTCTTTCTTTCTTTTTTTTTGGCACTAGCTCCCACAGGCGGTGGGGGCTCGACGTCGTCCCCCACCCTCCCTCGTCCTCCTCCTCCTCCTCCTCCCTACAATATCCCGCCGCGGCTCCTGCTCTTTTCCCTTGGCGCCCGTCTCGGGTTTTAAGCCGCCGGGCTGCGAGGATTGCGCGGCGCGGGGGTTACAGCGGCACAAGATTTCATTGTGCTCGCGTAGAAAAGAAGCGCAGCGGCCCCGGCAGCAAACGTGAGACTCACAAGGGGGTGGGGGGTGAGAGAGAAAGAGAGGGAAGGGAACCCTAGTGGGAAGCTGGCGGTACTACACCAGAAAATTCCCGTTCTGGAAACCAGGAGTAGGGAGACCCCTAGCGTCAGTGTAGCGTCGTTGCAAGAGAGTTCCCGTTTCCTTGGCCTGCGATCCTGAGGCGATTGCAGCGCCCAGCATGAGCAACGCTGCGAAATAAATAAAATGATGATGATGATGATGATAATAGTTGTTGTTGTTGTTGTTGTTGTTGTTGTTGTTGTTGTTGTTATTATTATTATTATTATTATTATTATTATCGTTATTATCGTTATTATTATTATTATCGTTATTGTTGTTGTTGTTTTTGTTGTTGTTTTTGTTTTTGTTACTGTTACTACTACTACTACTACTACTACTACTACTACTACTACTACTTTAGTGAGATTCACAGCCTTTGGGGCTGGTTGGCAGCTCAACAGCTTGAGTCCTAACCGAGGACCTAGGAACTGTTCAGGTAGCGTTGGAGGATATAAGCTGTTCCAAGTAGGGTGGTTTTTTTTTGTAGAATCAGGGTATTCAAGTCTGATAAATTCAGGATTTCCAAATAGCGAGGCAGCCCTTTAGGTATTGCTCCAAGGGCTCCAGTTACAATTGGGATAACACACAATTTCTTTTTCCAAAGTCGCTCAAATTATTATTATTATTAATGATAATAAATAATAAATAATAAATAAATTATTATTATTATTATTATTATTATTATTAATAATAATAATAATAATAATAATAATAATAATAATAATAATAATGAAACAGTTGACCATTTAATCAGTGGGTGCATCAAAATTTCACAAACTGACTACCTAGAACACCGTAACCGAGTTGCTAAAATCATTCACTGGAAACTGTGCCAAAAGTTTGGATTTGAGTTTAGTAACAACTATTGGGAACATCAGGTTGAGAAGGTTCTGGAGAATGAAAAAGTCAAGATTTTGTGGGACTTCAGAATTCAGACTGAATTCCCACAACACACCAGACATAACAATAGTTGAAAAGAAAAAAGGTTTGGTTCATTGTCATTGCAACACCTGGTGATGCACAATTTGAAGATGCGCAGCAAGAAGAAATCACAAAGTATCAGGACTTACACATTGAAGCCCTAAAGGGCTACCTCACTATTTGGAAATTCTGAATTTATCAGACTTGAATACCCTGATTCTACAAAAAACCACCCTACTTGGAACAGCTTATATCCTCTGACGCTACATTAACAGTTCCTAGAGCGATGTCCCTGGGATCAACAGAATGCACCCCTTGCTATCACCGTCTCTACGGGACGGTTTAGGTCCGTTGGGACCGACCAGAGGCGAAGATATCAGCTGCGATCTAATGCCCACTTAGTCACGCCCTCCGAGCTACGCCCACCGAATCGTGGTTAAAAAATTTGCATCCCACCCCTGGTTACAACCAGTGACAAAATGTATTACATTTTAGATGTTATAGGTTCATGTATTAGCAGAAAAGGGAAAATATTGCTTGAATTCCAGCATGAGTTAAGAATGATTTAAGGCTACCTCAGGTGTAGGCTTACAAAAACAAAAAATGAGGGTAACACAGTGAGGACGTAGCACAAATGAGAAGTAGTCAAAGTATATTTGTGACATGGTTTGACATAAGGAAGGAAAGATCCCGTGTTGAAATTTCCATCTAAAGAGTTGTACACACAGATTATTTAAAAGGGCTTTTATTTGAAAAGCACAATGACATCTGAATGTAATAGATAATGTATGTCATATCTTTATGCCTGTATTTGCTTTCCCAATTATTCCACTATCTTCTACTCTGGCCTTCTTTTACTATCACTGATTTATTGTAAAGTAGCAACAAGTGAGACTAAACCTGGTTGCTGAGTAGTCTGAAATGATACATCAAATGCTTAATTGGACTGTAGCTGCATCATTGGTCGTTGATCTGCTTTCCAACAAGATAATTCCAGTTAAGTTCACAAGCCAAATATGAAGCAATTCGCCCATCCATCCATCGTTGCTCCTGGAGTTTCATTTGATCGATTCCATCCCCATCAAAACTCAGTTACAGAAATATAACATTTATAATCATATCAATGCGTAACACAGTGTTTCTCAATTTCAGCAACTTTAAGATGGGTGGACTTCAGCTTCCAGAATTCCACAGCCAGCATGTGTGGATGGGGAATTCTGGGAGTTGAAGTCCATCCATTGAAACAGGTTCTTTTTTATAAGGTACACCTGATTCATATTGTTCAGTATTGTGGATGTTAACTGGTACTCAGGTTTCTAACCTTTCCTTGCATGGAGATAGTTTTGGGGATGACAATGCAATGCACACACATCCAAAAGGAGCTTCCAGGTGGGTCTTTTCCTGCCCTAGTGAGGTGCCAGGGATACATACTCTTCCAACAAGCTATGCTTTTCACATGGTCACAATCAGGGGTGGGCTGCTGGGGGTTCGTGGAGGTTCGTGAGAGCCGCTAGCTAAGATTCTGCCCACAAATCCCACTCCTGGCTGCTGCACCCACCCCACCCCGTGGAGTCCCCACACTGTCCGTTTTGGATGCAGGTAAGTACAGGTTGTGCGTGGAGGCTTGGGGAGGGTGAAAAATGGGCCTGGGGTGGGATTCAAATTTTTTAACAACTGGTTCTGTGGGCATGGCTTAGTTGGTGGGCAGGGCTTGGTGGTCATGTGACTGGCTGGGCGTGGCCAACTCAATATCACTCACATCGCATCTCCTCTCCTGGCCCATCATGAGTGTGGGGATGCTGCAATAGTCGTAAGTGTGAAAAATGGTCATAAGTCACTTTTTTTAGTGCCATTGTAACTTTGAATGGTCACTCCACACAAGCAAAGTACCAGCAAAGGAGGGAAAAGTAACTCCAGAGACGTTCCTGAGACAGAAAGTCTAGTTCTGCCAAGAATGTAATAAGGGTTAATGGAGAGGCAGTTTCTGTAAGCAACACCAGAATGTTTCCTTCCTGCCTTCCTTACAGGATTAGGCCAGTAATTTCTTCTAACAACCGGTTCTCCGAACTGCTTAGAATGTTAACAACCGGTTCTAGTGAATAGGTGCGAACCTGAATCCCACCCTTGCTAATGGGCCTCCCACCCTTGCTAATGGGCCTCCTTGAAGTTCGGAAAGGCCGGAAATGGGCCCATTTCTGGTCTTCCAGAGAGCCTCTGGACCCCGGGGAAGCCATTTTCGCCCTCCCAAAGGCTCAAGGAAAGCCTCCAGAGCCCAGAGAGGGCAAACACCCCCCTAGTGGTGCAGGAGACCGACTAGGCCATGCCCATGATTGCCATGCCCATCCAGCAACCAGGCAGAGAATCCGTTGCTAAAATTTCTGAAGCACACCCCTGGTCACAATGAGAGTATGAAGAGAGGGAAACAATGACAGATCATTTCCCTGGTTAATTATATAATTAATCTATAATTTATAAGGGGCAAATGTTGGTTAATTTTTGAGACTAGAAAATCTGAAATGTGGATAGGTGTCTGCCCTCAGCAGTAAAACCAGACAAGAAACATGATTAGCTCAGCTAAATCTACTTTATTGTAAGGTTACATTAACAGATATTTTGCAAGTACAAATTTCCCGCCCTCATTTTTAACTGCCTGAAAAATTAGGGCAGCTCCTTCCTAAGTTTCTTCCTCTGACAGTTATGCCACTGGTAATAAAATCCTTGAATTCTGTATCTGCAGGAATAAAGGATAAAACGGCAGGTTTTCGGAAGATTGTTTGAAAAAAATTAAACTAAATGTTTATAGAGTTTGTAGAAAATATGGTACTAAGAGGCGATGACCAAAAGCGTCAAAAAGCAATGCAGAAAATTTTATCTTTGAAGAAAGTGCTTGTGTAACACAGCGCAGAAAATTTCATTTGTTGAATAAATGTGCAGTTTGATTTCAGGATCATTTGATGAGCGATCCAGTCCTCAAGGGTTTTCCTGAATAAAAATTTATATTTGGAAGATTATTTTCATAATTAAAATAAAGTAGAAAAAAAAAAAGAAATGTAGCACATATATTTGCATGCTACAGTGAACCATAAATAAAAAAGAATAATATCAGAAATGTGGTATAGAGGTAAAAACCCTTCAGTAGCGTTACTCAAATGAAAGATCTCTTTTAAAGTTGTTCAAAAATTTAAGGAATTCTGCTACTTTGTCCTGATAGCTTTCAAGCTCAGAATATTTCTGCAAAAAAAAAGGAAGAAAAACACTATTGTGAATCATCTCAAATTCTAAATGTAAGCATATAAAATTTTAAATACAGGTAGTCCTTGACTTATGACAAGTGAACCCAAAATTTATGTTGTTAAATGAGACAGGCATTAAATGAACTCACATAGCCACATAAATTTTTGGCTCAATTGTGGTTGTAAATCAAGGACTTCCTATAATCCTTCTTAGATAATATATAAAGCCCTTCAGTCCCTCACTTAATCCATAAGCAATGAATTTCCAATGAAGTCAGTTACCTCACATATCCAGCGATTTTCCTCCAGATGGCTGAAAACTCGTTTCACGAAATCTTTGACTGGCTCATCCTGAAGATTTTCCTCTCCATCTTCATCCCGAATATGTTGTTCTTTTACAGCTGAACAGCATTCCTGATACAACTTATATTTATAATGCTTCAGATCATGATAAACCTTGGTACGCCTTTGACATACAATGCCAACTTTCAACCTCTGCAGAAACGTAAGTTCTTTTAGTGGTATATTCTGAATAACAGTAGTAAACACTGCAATTAGTTAAGCTAGAATACATGTCCTATAAAAAAAGAGAACTGAACACAGACAGGACTTTTATTATTATCCAATAATGAAATCCTAGTTAGAAAGCCGCTCCTGCACCCATTTTAATGAAAGCAATGGTGATGTTGATTGTCTAAGTTTTTCTTTTTTGTTCAAGAAAAGTAACAAGCGATTACTTTTTTTTAAACTACAAAATATTGGCACCCACGCAGTTCGCTGACATTTGAAAGTATAAATTAAAAGGATTACTTCTCTGTTGCATACAGTTATTATCATTAAGTCACAAGGAATACCTTGTTCAAGCATTACGTGAATTGCAAAGGAATTTTTTAAATGAGTTATTGAATATGAACACAGAAAACCCTCAGTTTACATAGTAGAACAGTCTCCCTAGCAAAAATCTAAGCAGTCACTTCAAGTTAGAAAGTTTAGGAACAGAGAATTAGAGTCTAGTAAATACTCAGTAACTTAAAGCTGTACATATGTGCAGCAGATGCTGTTAGCACATGAAAGGAATTGGACAAAATATTTGTTTCAAAGGGCATATTTTTCACATATAAAATCATCACAGTTACTAAATGGACCAATTCATTTCTCCTGTTTACTTAATTACCCAGCTATCTAAAGTTAATTACTTTATTTGGATGTAAATATCAGAAAAAATGATGAACTATTCTGAATTAAGCAAGTCTCTAGCATTTTCATTTTAGGCAGTCTTTGGATTTTGCATTCAGAAAACCAAAATGCCCATGGGGAAAAAAAATTCAAAGTCAAGCCTGATTTTAAACTTGAGACTTTCTATGTGAGTTTATGTAAGTTTTATATAAGACTTTGTAAGAACTGGGCAGGTAAGTAATATAGTACAGTGTAATGTACTGTTAAACATCAACCCAACTCTCAAATCTGAACCAGCAGATTATAGTAAAAATAAAGTTCTTCAAAAAGAAAATTCACAAGAAGTTTAAGATACATAAATATTATAGGGTAAGACAATTCTTGCATGCAAGTTTGTCAGTGCTTATTTCAAGGAAGTGACTCTGATTATTCTCAGCTGCTGATAAAAATAAAGAACAGCACAAACTGTAATATAGTATTTGGATCTGAAGTGGAACAGATGATCTGGAATCAGTGTGAAAAAACATATTTCAGGAAGGCTAAGAAACGGAGATGAGTACCACCTCTTAAGAGTCAGACATGAGGAAACTTTACCTTGATAAACCTTTACCTTTATAAAAATAATTAAAAAGGCAAAGGTTTTCCTATCAGTTATGTCCAAGTCTGTGGGGGTTGCTCATCTCTGTTTCTTGGCCAAGGGAGTCAGGCTTGCCCAAAGACAATTTCTGTGATCATGTGGCCAGCATGGCTATACGCCAAAGGCTCACAGAATGCTGTTGATTTGCCACCCAAGTGGTACCTATTTATCTACTTGCATTTGCATACTTTCGAACTGCTAGGTGCGTAGGAGGCGGGGCCAGAATGGGAGCTCACCCCTTTGCACGATCTCGAGTGCAGCTGACAAGCTCAGGGTCTTTAACTGTTGAGTCATCACATTCCCTTGTAATAAGCTAGACGAGAGCTAATCTGAGTTCAAAGAAAGACAAGAAACCTTGAAACAAGGATAGGAAGCCTCAAGATTTGAAAAATTAGGAAATGGAAAGAACAATAGATATTTTAGAACAGAGTTGGGGAATGATGGCCACTTTATGACATGTGCACTACAACACCTGCCAAAAAAGCCAACACAGTTGAAGGCTGCATAAAGAGGGATAGAATCAAGATCACGTGAAGTGTTAATACCACTTTATAATGCCTTGGTAAGACCACACCTGGAATACTGCATCTAGTTTTGATCGCCACGATGTAAAAAAGACGTTGAGACAGAGCTCAGAGGAGAGCAACAAAGATAATTAGGGAACTGGAGGCTAAAACATATAGAGAATGGTTGCTGGAATTGGGTATGTCTAATTTGATGAAAACAAGGGATGACATGATAGCAGTGTCCAATATCTAAGGGCTGCCACAAAGAAGAGGAAGTCAAGCTATTCTCCAAAGCACCTGAGGGCAGGGCAGAAAGCAATGGGTGGAAAGTAATCAAGGAGAGAAGCAACCTAGAACTAAGGAGAAATTTCCTAACAGAACAATTAATCAGTGGAACAACTTGCCTCCAGAAGTTGTGAATTCTCCAACACTTGAAGTTTTAAAGAAGAGAATGGATAATCATTTGTCTGAAATGATATAGTTTCCTGCCTAAGCAGGGGGTTGGACTAGAAGACCTCCAAGGTCCCTTCCAACTATGCTATTCTATTCTATTCTACTCCCAGAATTCCTGAACCATCAGGAATTCTGGGAATTGAAGTCCACAAATCACACAAGGGCCATCAGATTCAGAGTGATCCCTAGAGATTTTGGAAAGGTGAATTTTAAAGAGAAAGTTTTTTTTAAAAAAGAAACTGATGGGTACAGTGAGTAGTGATCCTATCATGATGCATATGAAACACCTTTCCCATTTTGGCTTTGGGCACACTACATCACCAGTACACGTTATTATAAATACCACATCTGAAACCTGTAAACAAAATAACCTTTCAAAAGCGCAAAGATTTTAAAACATGTAAATACATTTGCTTTTCAGTAATTAGCAAAACATACCTGTGTATCGTGAGGCATGAAGTCATCCTCTTTCAGTGTTTTATGACAGTAATCTTTTCCAGAAAAAATCACTATAAACGTACAGTCTCTATCTAGCTCACAGGCTTGACAAATACGCGTCTCTGAGTATTGCGGGATTATACGGACATTAGAGTAACTGTCTACTCGTGTCTAGAAAAGAATACAATTGATTAGAGTTCTGTTGTTAATAGCTCCAGGGCAGTGGTGGGGTTCAAATAATTCAACAATCGGTTCTCTGCCCTAATGATTTCTTCCAACAACTATTTCACAAGAAGAGTTCTCCACTCCTCTACTCGTTGTAGAATACCTTATGCCACCAGACTTGAAATTCTAGAACTAGAAAACCTTGAATTACGCCGTCTTCGGTCTGACTTAAGCATGGTATATAAAATCATACATTGCAATGTCCTACCTGTCAATGAATACTTCAGCTTCAACCATAACAACACAAGAGCACACAATAGATACAAACTCAAAGTAAACCGCACCAAACTTGATTGCAGGAAATACGACTTCAGCAATAGAGTGGTCAATGTCTGGAATACTCTACCCGACTCTGTAGTCTCTTCCCCAAACCCCAAAAACTTTAACCTTAGACTGTCTACTATTGACCTCACCCCTTTCCTAAGAGGTCTGTAGGGGGCGTGCATAAGCGCACCATCGTGCCTACCGTCCCTGTCCTATTGTTTCTCTTATTCTTTTATTTTTCTTATATGTACCCATTTCATGTATTCACAACTATGTATACACTTATACTTACTATCTTGCAAACAATTGGGAAATCAAATAAATAAATAATAAATAAAAATAACTACTTCACCAAACTGCTCAGAAAGTTAAGTTTCTCTCGAACTGGTGCGAACTGGCTGAATCCCACCACTGCTCCAGGGACTTATTAACAACATTTTGGAAATATTACACATTCATATAACATTTAGATAGTCCTCAACTTACAACCATAATGGAGTTCAAGTTTCTTGAAGGCAAATGAGAAAAGTATTAAATCAGAATGCATTAAAATACAGTGGAGCTTCGTAATCCATTCCAGGACTTTGGTCGCAACCTGTTTTTTTTTTTTTTAATATAATTTTTTTTATTTTATATTTACAATAATTCCATCTTTCATTCATACTGTTGTGGTTCACTGGCAGCCAGTGCAGACTGCAGCGGAGTTGGACAGTGAGGAAGAAAGGGGACCAGCCAGGGAGTCTGGAGAGGACTTGGACGAGGGTCCTGCGTCTGATGCAGGGATGGGGCCAGGACTATCTGGGAATGTGGTGCTGCCTTCAGTGCCTGGCAGCAGTGAGGCAGAGGACCCAGGGAAGCCTGTTCCCATGCATATGTGCGCAGAGCTGCTAGAAGATGAGAGCAGCTGAAGCAGAAGGGGCGACTCAAGAGTAGGGCTAGGAGGTAATTGCCCCTCCCATAAGGGATAACAGTCAGACCTCAATGACGAAAGCTTTGCAGGAAGCAAAGTAGTTTGATAGATTCTGAGTCCTCTTTGAAGCTCTGGTTGGTTTTTTTCTGGTATTTCGATTGGTTTCTGTTATAATTGGAGACTTCTGTTTTTGGCAGCATTCTACAGCACTGAAAGGCATGTGCTTATATTGGGGAACTGTTTATAATTAGTTCTGGCTGGGAATGAAAGGAATTCCCAATGTTGCAATAAAATAGGTTTTGCTTTTTAAACAAGTTTGTGTTTAATTACATTTGATGAAGCCTGGGTCAGAACACATACAGTGTGTCGACTGGGTACATATATCTTATGCTAACAATTGTAATTAATACATTTCTTACCAATACAACAATAATCACATTTTCTTTATAAGCCATTATTTTTATATCTATTACTTTTATTTTTATCTTAACTTAACTTAACTTATATCCATCTACTCAATTTTAACTTGTTTTATTTTCCAACCATTGATAGAATAAGTCCCATACCATGTAATTCAGTTTCTTCTTTTTCTTTAATTGCCAGTGTTAATCTATTCATCTCTGCACATTCAAATATTTTCTCTATCACTTTTCTCTATGCCAGCATTTTATCACTTTTCCAATTCTGAGCAAATACAATCCTAGCTGCTGTTAATACATGAATAACCAAATATACTTTTTCTTTGCTATAACCTTCAGGTCTCATCCCTAATAGAAATATTTCAGGTTTCAAGTCTGTATGTTGCTATATAATTTTTTCCAACCATGTGTGGATTTTTGTCCAATATCTTTTAGCTTCTATACATGTCCACCACATATGGTAATATAATCCAGGTGTCTGATGGCACTTCCAGCATTTAGCTGATTTGTCTTTAAACACCTTTGCCAATTTTGCTGGTGCCAGTACCATCTGTAAAACATCTTATACAAATTTTCTTTATATGCTGTTGATATTATTAACTTATAATTTCTTTCCCATAATTTCTGCCATCTATCTAATGCTATAGTATACCCAAAATGTTTTGCCATGGTATCATCATTTCCTTTACTTGCTCTTCTAGTTTTGCACCTAGTAAATAACAGTACAATTTTTTAATCATCTTGTCTTCCATTCCTGTTAGTATTTTATCCAGTTCTGTCAACTACTTATGGATACCTTCAGCTTTGATATCTTTTTCATATGTTGATTGTATTTGCATGTATGAATACCAATGCATATCAACCCCTTGTTTATTCAATTCTCATTTGGTTTTGAGCTCATTCAGTATATCCTTATATCTAAAAATAGTTCCCATTTTACTGATACCGTGTTTCTCATATAATAAGGCCGGGTCTTTTTTTTTTTTTGAGCCCCGAAAAAATGGCTAGGCTGTCTTTTCGGGGGTGACTTAATTCCCCCCCCTTGCATCTTTGGGCGGGCGGGCAGCGATGGCTTGGATGTTGACCTCGGCGTTGGTGGGGCACTTTGTATCGGGGTCAACGCAGGCAGCACCATATCCGGCTGTGCAACAAAAGTACTTCCTAATGGCAAGCCCCCCCACCATTCCCCCCATTTTGCATGTTTTAATATAGGCCTTAATTTGGGGGGAGGGGCTTAATTTCATTTCATGCCTATAAAACATGCTGGGACTTCCTATTGGGGGAGGCCGTATTGTTGGAGAAACAGGGTATTTGGGTGTACCAGAGCTTCTGTTGTTGATAACCAGACTGGAATTTTTAAGTAATGTTTTCTAATTTTTTCCCATACTAACAATAAAGCATTCCTAAAAAGTGTCTTCGAAAATAACCATGTATCGTACTTCTCCTATACCATAGAAATGCATGCCAACCCAATTGCAAATCATGTCCTTCCAGTGTCAACAACCTTGTGTTTCTTAACATAATCCATTCTTTCATTCAAGTTAGTACTGTGGCCTGATAGTATATTTCTCAGTTAGGTAACCCAAACCCAGTTGCAACCTGACTTGGTTGTGACCAGAAGCATGACCATCTACGCGTGCACAGACCAAAAAAAAAATGGTGAAGGGAAAAATGGTGAAGGGAATCTTTCCACACCAGTTTTGTTCGCCAGCTGATTTTTGAATCGTGACCCTTCAAAAATTGGAGGGATTTTTTGTTTGCGACCCGAGGTTCCACTGTATTACAAATATACAATTGAGCCCCAAAATTTTGTTGCTAAATAAGACATTTGTTAAGTGAATTTTGCCCTATTTTACAACCTTTCTTGCCACAGTGGTTAAGTGAATCACTGCAGTTATTAAGTTAGTAACATGTTTCTTAAGTGAATCTGGCTTTCCCATTGGCTTTGCTTGTCAGAAGATTGCAAAAGTTGATCACATGACCTCGGGAACACTGCAACGGTCCTAAATATGAGCAAGTTGCCAATCTGAATTTTGACCAGGTGACCTTGGAGATGCTGTGACAGTCATAAGTGTGAAAAATGGTCCTGAGTCACTTCAGTGTTGTCGTAACTTTGAACGGTCACTACACAAATTGTTTAATTGTATGTTTACTCTTTTTCATTGTTACATTGTTGCATACATAACACACTGCATGGATCTGTATGCCAGAGCCAAATCAACTAAGCAATGAAGTTAAAAGATTAAGAAGAAAATTAAATACCCTGTATCGTTTTTTCCAGCGACATTCCGAAACGAGACTTTCAAGGTACGGTTGAATAAAGCGTTGATCAAAATAATCGAGGGAACTTAGCATTTCCTGCGCGTACTTCTTTTCTCTTTTCCTCTCTTTGGAAAGGGAAAAAAATAGGCCTTGTTATTAACATCACAATTTTATAAACAGTACAAGAAGCACTCAACGTACGACCATAATTGGAAGAGGGGTGAGCTTCAAAAATTTTAGCAAAGGGTTCTCTGCCCGGTTTCTGGGTAGGCGTGGCCATGGTGGGCGTGACCTAGTCAGCCTCCTGCACCACTGGGGGGGGGGCGTTTTTGCCCTCTCTGGGCTCCGGAGGCTTTCCTTGAGCTTCTAGGAGGGCAAAAACGGCCTCCCCGGGCTCCAGAGACTACGGAAACTTCCGGGAGGCCCGTTTTTCACCCTCCTCGAGTCTCCATGCGCGCCCTGCACTTACCTATATCCAAAACGGGCCGTGTGGGAACTCCTGGGCGGGGCAGGGTGGGGTACGTGGGGCCAGCCAGGAGTGGGATTTAGGGGTTGTCCGAACTGCACAGAATCTTAGCTAGGGGCTCTCCCAAACCCCTGCGAACCCCCAGCAGCCCATCCCTGAATTGAAACCAGAAGATCTGTTGCTAAGCAAGGCGTTTGTTAAGTGAGTAGCGCTCCATTAATGACCTTTTTGCCACGGTTGTTAAGTGAATCACACGGTCGCCGAGATAATTCAGTTTTCCCCATGCTGACTGGGAGTAACGATCATGGACAATGCAACCATGACACCTACACGCCACTTACCTGAATTTTGATTACCTGACTATGGGAAAGTTTTAAGTGCGACAAACAGTTGTAAGTCATTTTTTTCAGTGCCACTGTAAATTCAAACAGTTGCTAAATGAATGGTTGTTAAGGATTATCTCTAATGCATTTATTTACTGCCCTGAAGGGGAAAAAATAGAAAGAGGATAACAAATAGTCTCTTTGGAAGGGATGCTTGCTTACCATATAAAGAGCTCAGAAATTTATCATCAGTTGCATTGATGAGAAAGGCTTTCACAACTCTTTGAAAGTGTAAATAACGATCGACCCCAGACACTGTTTAAAAAGAAAACCAACACAAATATGTGTCAGTATGGCCCATATGAATAAATGACTAGGTGCTAATAAATACTATAAAAAGGACATTTAAGCTACTTCTTATTTGTTGTGACCTTACCAAATGGAATATGTTCTTCCAATAAGTGACTGGCCACATGATGTTTTCTGTCTTGATGTTGGTAGTCTTCCTCCTGAAAGTTATCCCATTTCTCCTCCTCCTCCTCCTCGTCTCCTTCTTCTTCTATGAAATTTTTCATGCTGTCTTCATCAGATGTAACACTAATTTCCTCTTGTGTGAGGGGTGAATGATTATCACGTTGCATCAAGGCATGATCTGCACTTCCCTGGTGACATTAAAAAAGGCACAGTATTTATAGAATATTTTAGTTAAATACTTTGGTGTTTCATGAATGGGATTAGCATTAATTCATGTTAAAGTCATGTCACTGTGTATATGGACAATACAGTACAGTATGTTTTATGTTAGGCCACTGGGCATTGCAAAGTTTGAGTTGAGTGGTCATATAAGACAATAAGTACAGTACCATATCTACAAAGACCAGAGCTGTGCAAACAATGGTATTCCATGTGATGCTCTATCAAAGTGAAAGTTGGTCTTTAAAGAAGCAGGACAGGAAAAGCATTGATGCTTTTTTAATGCTGGGGTTAGAGAAAACTCCTGAGAATACTTTGGACAGCCAAGAAAACAAACAGGTCATTTAACAGATCAACCTAGAGTTTCCACTGGAAGCACAAATGATCAGGTTCATATTATCCAACATGATGTGAAGACCCAGCTCTCCAGAGAAGGCTCCAATGCTAAGAAAGGTGGAAGAAAAGAGGATAAGATGACCGACAGCAAAGTGGAGGCAGTCAGTTACACTAGCAAATTAGTGCATTGTTGGAAGAGGTGAAAGACCAGGTTATGGACAGATTGTCATGGAGAAAAATCTACCTGGAATGGAACAGAATAGAAAAGAAAAGAACAGAACAGAATAGAATATAGAATAGAAGCTAGAAGGGACCTCAGAGGTCTTCCAGTCCAGCCCCCTGCTCAAGCAGGAGACCTTATACCAGGGGTCCCCAACCACCGGGCCCTGGACCGGTACCGGTCTGTGGATCATTTTGTACTGGGCCGCAAAGAATGAATAATCGTGATTAAAATATATATAAAAATGGCGGCTTTCTTTGCCTTCGGTGAATGCTGCTGGGATCAGGGATCAAGAACACAAAGGAAAGAAGGGGAAGGAGGAAGCCATAGTTTCAGATCAGCCCCCCAATTGCCGCCAGGCCCCCGAAGTGCCTGCCGGCCCTCTAGCAACCAAAGCCTGTCCTGCTCTCTGGCTCAGTGGCTTCAGTTTCCTCCCGCCTTGTTCCTCTCTCAGTCGCTCTCTCGCTCCTCCACCAGCCCAGGAAGAAACTGCTTCAAAGAACCTGGCAGGGTGGCTTTTCCTGTCGGCACAGCTCCTCCGAAGCGCCCGTTCACCCACACACAGCTGCCCACGGTTCAATCCAGTGCTCCGTTCTGCCTGCCTGCCTGCCTGCCTTCGTTTCTGGTTGTTTCGGAGCAGCTACAGCTGAGAAAAAGAGGCGAATAGTAATTAAAGGGAGGGAGACACCTGAGGGATGAGGCTGAGGAAGGCAGGCCGAGAGGCGGGGCTTCTCAGCCGTCCTACAGGGACTTGTCCTGAGCCGCGGAGACAGCTGTGGGCCGCCGCCGCCCAGCGCTCAGTTTTGAAGGCGCTCCTCAGCCAGGCGCAGTTCCTGAATCTGCAGCTGAAACCCTCCATTTTAAATGTCCCAATAGAAGAGAATATCTGTCGCTCAGGGTTGCAATGAGGAGGCCTTGGCGCTCTCTGAACTTGGTGGTTTGCTGGTGGACGTTTTATTACCCGACTAGGTAACAACATCAGATGATACCTAGTCAGGTAAAGAAACGTCTGCAAGCAAACCACCAAACTCGGACTCCACTGCCCCTACCCGGTCCTTGAAAAAGTGTTTCTGCGTGAAACTGGTCCCTGGTACAAAAAAGGTTGGGGACCACTGCCCTATACCATTTCAGACAAGTGGCTGTCCAGTCTCTTCTTAAAAAGTCTCCAGTGATGGTGCTGCACCCACGATTTCTGGTGGCAAGCTCTTCCACTGGTTAATTGTCCTCACTGTTAGCAAGTTTCTCCTTAATTCCAGGTTGCTTCTCTCCTTGATTAGTTTCCATCCCTTGTTTCTTGTCCTGCCTTCAGGTGCTTTGGAGAATAGGTTGATCTCCTCTTCAATGGTCCTTTTATGACTTGTGGACTTTAACACCCAGAATTCCTGAGCCAGCTATTCTGGGAGTTAAAGTCCTTAAGTCATAAGGGGCCATGGTTCCCCACCTCTGATAATGGAGAGACCCGGCTTATGATACGACAGAATGGATAACATCATCATCGAGATTAGATTAGATTAGATTAGACTAGACTAGAGTAGAGTGGAACAGAATTCTTTATTGGCCAAGTGTGATTGGGTACACAAGGAATTTGTCTTTGGTGCATAAGCTCTCAGTGTACATAAAAGATATAAGTGATAAATCATGATCATAGTCATCATAAATACATTCATCATGAATCATGATACAACACTTAGCGATAGTCATAGGGTACTAAATAAACAATCAACAAAAATCATACTAGGAAACTAAATAAAACAATTATGTACTTGATGGCACATAACCAAATGAAGCCCCTCACAAGCTAATTATTTATGTCTATTTTTATAGTTTGGGGTCATAAGATAAATATAAAAAGGTGCTTCTAAAATTCATGTGGATTACAGTGAAATCCATCTGAGATCTACCAGCAAGTGTGAAAAAATCCTTTTTTGAAATTAATTGGAAACGTACCTCATCACGTTGATTGACTCTCCCAGATTTTTGTGTTTGCCGGGAAGAGAGTTCTTGAAGCTGTAGGTGTCCTTCTTGTTTTCTATTGGCTGCTTTCTCTTCTGGGGATGTGGGTGACTCCTCACCAACAGATAAGTCCTCTTCACTAATTACCGTCCTGCCTTTAGCAATCATTTTCCTAGGAACACTGCTGTCACTGCTTTCATCACTGTCATATATCACCGCTGTCCGAGGTCTCTTCCTCTTTCCAAAGGAGATGTTTTCTTCTTCCAGATCCTCAGAAGATGCATCGCTCCAACCTTTCTGTAAATCTGCATCGCTCCCAGCTTCACTATTACTTTTGCTAAGTATGGAGGTCTTTTCTTCTTTTCCATCTACATCTTCTTTCAATCTGGACTTGGGATCTCTTTCTGAGGATGAGGATGACGAGGAGGAAGAGGAATATATAATGTCATCGTCATCATCCTGACTTTCAGGAAATAGATATCTCTTAGTCCGACTCCAGTCAATGTGAGATTTGGCCACTGGTTTTGCTGTGACGCTTCTGGTTTGGTATCTTCTAGTTACAGCATTAGTTTCCATAAGGATTTACTAAAAAAAGAAAAGAAGATAAATTTGATGTTCTAAGTTCACTATATTTTTGGTTTTACAACTCTTCAAATAGTGATGGGAAGTCCAGTCAAAAATGGAGGCTTTCCTTTTCTGCTCACACCCCTTGTCCCAGACTTAAAATAAATAGATGTACAGTAAACCCTTAATTTTAATGGATTATTAATTGGGAAGAAAAGTACAGACAGTCCGTAACTTACAACTATTCAATTAGTCCTGGCCTGTCAAACTGGCAGCCCGCAGACCAGATATGCCACGCCCATCCCAGCTCTGCAAAGGCAAAACCCGCCTCATAATATCTCACAATCTGGCCCGTGAGGTGATCAAGTTTGACACCCCTGATTTAGTGACTGGTCAAAGTTACTGTCATGTCCCCATCAGAGCCTGAATCTGCGAAGGAAGATGATCCAGAACTGGAGCCGATGGAGATTGAGGGAGTGGCTTCATTGGCTTGGGAGGAAAATGGGGAGGAGAAGGCCCAGTCAGGCCAGGGCCTTTCAGGATTGGAATGGGTTGTAGTCAGGGAGGAACGGGGGCAGGATGACCAAGAGAGGCTAAGCAGTGAACATGAGAGTCAGAGCTCGGGCAAGGAGCAAGAATTACCCCTCCTGATTCTTGAGCACGGAGGTGGGAGCGAAGGCGAGAACAGCACAGACTGACCCGATGACCGGGAGGAGACCACCCCGCCCTTCTTCACAAGACACACCTGGGAACTGAGACTTAAGGAGACGCTGTGGGGAGGGGAATTTGGTTTAGTTTACTTTATTGTTATTGCACTTCATACAACGAAATCAAACATCATCTTCAGTGCACATCATGACTATGAAAATAAACACAAACACACATCCTTCACACTCCACACATTGAATTGGAAACCTCCGACACCACAACAACACTGCACTATACAACATAATTCAACAGAGCTATCCTACTGCCCTGGGATAGAAACTGTTTTTCAGCCTATTTGTCCTTGTTTTTATTATTCTATTTTATTTTTATTTTATTATTGTTTTATTATTGTTTATTTTATTATTGTTGGGAACAAACGCTGAATTCCTGGAGTGTTGAGTGCCGACGCTTGAACTGTTCTGGATTCCTTGCATTCTTTCTGGATTCCTTGCTTTGCAGCCATTGTGCTCACAGTGTTGGGCTGGACTATTTGCAGCCAGAGGCTGCTTGAGGAGTGTGTGTGTGTGTGTGTGTGTGTGTGAGTGAGATCATTTTGCTCTGGGACTTGCCAGAAACATGGGAGTATTTCAGCAAAGCATTACACAAAGTAGACCACAACCTATTTCTTAGTAAGCTAGAAAAAAGTAGAATAGATAGCACCACCACTAGATGGACTCGCAACTGGCTGACAAACCGTACTCAATGAGTAGTCCTTAATGGGTCTAAGTCTACATGGAGGGAAGTAAGCAGTGGGGTACCACAAGGTTCCATCTTAGGCCCAGTACTCTTCAATATCTTCATTAATGACTTAGATGAGGGAATAGAAGGGGAACTTACCAAATTTGCAGATGATACTAAGCTGGCAGGAATAGCTAACACCCAAGAAGATAGGCTCATGATCCAGATGGATCTTGACAGACTAGAACACTTGGCTATATCTAACAAAATGAAATTCAATGTAGAGAAAAGTAAAGTCCTACACTTAAGCAAGAAAAACCAAAAGTACACATATAGACTGGGTGAAACCAGGCTCAATAGCAGTAACTGGGAGAGGGATCTTGGAGTCTTAGTGGACAACTAGCTAAATATGAGCCAGCAGTGTGCAGCAGCAGCCAAAAAAGGTAATGCAATCCTAAGTTGTATCAACAGAGGGATACAATCGAGATCAAGTGAGGTACTAATACCACTCTATAAAGCCTTAGTAAGACAACACCTAGAGTACTGCATCCAGTTTTGGTCATCACATTATAAAAAAGATGTTGACACTAGAAAAAGTACAGAGAAGAGCAACCAGGATGATTAGGAGACCGGAGACTAAAACATATGAAGAACACTTGCAGGAACTGGGCATGGCTAGTCTAGTGAACAGAAGGACCAGGGGAGACATGATAGCAGTCTTCCAATATTTGAGGGGCTGCCACAGAGAGGAAGGAGTCAAGTTATTTTCCAAACCACCCGAAGGCCAGACAAGGAATAATGGATGGAAACTGGACAAGGAGAGATTCAATCTGGAAATAAGGAGAAATTTTCTGACAGTAAGAACAATCAACCAATGGAACAGAAGTTGCCCTCGGAAGTTGTGGGAATGCTACCACTTTCAAGAAGAAATTGGACTGCCATTCATCAGAAATGGTGTAGGGTCTCCCGCTTGGGCGGGGGGTTGGACTAGATGACCTATAAGGTCCCTTCCAACTCTGATTATCTGTTAAATCTGTTAAGCGTTTGGGGAAATTTGGGGCAATAGAGGGGCGGTTTGAACTGCCAGCTGCCTCTATTACCTCTGTGCCATGCCTCGGATCATCACAGTTACAATAGTACTGAAAAAAGTGACTTATGACTGTTTTTCACACCACCACTGCAGCATCCTCATGGTCACAGAATTTGAATGCTTGGCAACTGGCATGTATTTCTGACTGTTGCAATATCCTGGTGCTGCACGATTCCCTTTTGCGACCTTCTGACAAGCAATGTCAATGGGGAAGCCTTAACAATTGTCACTAACTTAACAGCTACAATGATTCACTTAAAAATCATGGCGTGAAAGCTTGTAAAATGGGTGTAACAGTTCACAACTGTCTTGTTAGCTACAGACATTTTGGACTCAATTATGGTTGTAAGTAAATGTACCTGTAATGTCCTTCAGAACTCATTGCCTCTTACTGCAAATGAAATCTTACATGGGCATAATTTGGTAAAGGAATTTTTGTCTTCCAGATCCAAAATCTGCCAAACAAGTCCAGGGAATCTCTCAATTATTATTGTTATTTTTGGTATTGGGAAGAGAAATCTCACAGAACATTTTAACGCTGTAAAATTATCATGAAGCGTATTTGCAAAGGCAATGCAAAGTTTTGCAAATCTGTTTGATTCAACTGAGTTGCAGTTTTAAAGATATTTGACCACACAGCTGGCCAGAAATGAAACCTCACTTTTGGAAATAAATTCTGCAGGTGTTAGAGAACTACAGAATTTTCAGAGGATTTTGCCAAATGATTGGTTCAAGGGCTGCAACATAACTAGCCCTTTATCATTGCTTAATAGAGCTGGATTTCACAGACTTCTGCATCAAATGAAGATAATCTGATAGGCATTTGGAAAGACGCAAACACATACCCAGCTAAGGATGCTAAACAAGACTGCATGAAAAATGATTGCTTCTGTTTATTTTTACCCCATCTTGATTATTTCTAGAAATGTAGCGAACATACTTAATATTGCTTCCTCCTCTTTATCCCCACAACTCCAACCTTGTAAGGTGGATTGGGTTGAGAGGTAATGACTGGCTCAAAGTCACCTAGCTGGTTTTCATGATTAAGACAGGATTTGAACTCACCTTTTCTTGGTTTCTAGCTGATGCTTTAACCCCTAGATCAAACTGATTCTTGGTTTACGCTGCCCTTCAAACTCCCAATGAAGTCTGTAAATGTAAAAGAAGAAATTCAACATCAGAGAATAGGGACTTTTCAGAAACTGATATTGATTAGAAGCACTTTAAAATAAAAATAGTATTAAATATTATTTTTAAATTTTTTTATTATTATTTTATATACAACAAATCCATTCCATTTCAATCGTGCGTCGACTAGGTATATATTTCAATTATTTAACCATTATAAATGATATTCTCCTTATCAAATCTAACAATAGTACATCAATAATCACATTCCCATATAAATAATAGTATCGCATATATTTATTACAATTATTTAACAATTATAAATGATGTTTTCCTTATCAAATCTAACAATACAGCATTCCCATATAAATAATGGTATCGGATATATCTATTACATTAATTTCTCTAATTACTCTATAAATACATCAAATTCCTTTTAATTTGTTCTATTTTCTACCCATTGATACAACTGATGTAAAGATATTTTAAATGAAAAGGGTGAGCTCAAAATAAAACAAGAATTAAACGAACAAGGATTAGATATAGAATGGTATTCATATATGCTGATACAAACAAGGTATGAAAAAGATATTAAAGATGAAGGGATCAAGGAAGAGTTGACAGAATTGGATAAAATACTAACAAGAACAGAAGACAAATTGATTAAAAGACTACACTGTTATCTATTGGGTGTCAAGTTTGAAGAAGAACAAGTTAAAGAAACAATGATTGCATGGGCAAATTTTTTTGGATATGCTATAGAACTGGATAAATGGCAGAAATTATGGGATAGGAATTATAAATTGACAATTCTGACATCTTATACAAAGGAGAATTTGTATAAGATGTTTTACAGATGCCACAATGCCAGCAAGACTAGTGAAAATGTTTAAAGATAAATCAATGAAATGTTGGAAATATCATCAAACGCCAGGAAAATATCATCATATGTGGTGGACTTGCACAGAGGCTAAAAGATATTGGGCTAAAATACACACATGATTGGAAAAATGATTAAACAACATATAGATCTGAAACCTGAAATATTCCTATTATGAATGGTACCAGAAAGTTATAGTAAAGAAAAGATTTACCTAATTATACACGTTTTAACAGCGGCTAGAATTGTATTTGCCCCAAATTGGAAGAGTGATAAAATACCGACAGAGGGAAAAATAATTGAAAAAATATTTGAATGTGCAGAAATGAATAGACTGACACTAGAAGTCAAAGAAAAAGAAGAAACTGAATATTACACGGTAAGGAAATATTACTTTCTAAAGAGCAGGAAATGCATCAAGTAACAACAGCTAACAAGTAGTAACAAACGATAACATGGTTGTTTGATGCTCTTGTCATGTGTCTTGCAGAAAAACATCCAAGACACACTACAACAGCGTCAAATAACAAT